TGACCCAACCATTGATTAAACGCTCAATTATTCATGAATTTAATATCGTTTTTATTATTAAAATAAATTATTTATATGTTTTTATATATGGATAGAAAGAAACTGAAGGCTATTTCATAATTGCACATAAAATTAGTAAATGACTGAACAAAACGTATCGAAAATTATGCAAACATTATTCATAACTAAAGTTTTCTAAAAGATAAAAAAGTTTTTTCTCTAATAATTGGAAACTTTTTATGCAATCATCAGATATTAACATATTTTTTGCTTAAAAAGTAACAATATTTTAAACAAATTAACACTAAATTATAATCAATAAAACACACAAAGGAAATAAATGTCAAACAAATACAGCAATAATTGATAACTTTGTTTGCGATTCAAAAGGAAGTCTAACGCTTACCGTTTTGTGCGGTAATAATCAGATTCAGTCATACGGTATATACGAGTAGTGAATATCATAGCAAATCAATAGCCAACACATCCCTCTATACATGAGCTGCACGTAAAGCGCTATCAATACAACACATAAACTCCAATACAAAGTGTAATACAATTTGTGAACATATTTACTGAATGACTCACAAACAGGGCCTCAATATGACTGAAATGACTGTCAATACGAAAAGTATAACAACTTTTTTGTTGTGTTTTTCTTCATTTCGTTTGTAAAACGAGTTGTCATTCATTTAGTGCCGCTTTTAAGCCATTCAATCGTCTAATCCTTTAATCAAATCTCAGATTTAAGGCTTAATGGCGTGTAATTAGCGATGAAATGAGTGCTAAATTCATGTATTTATTGATAACTCAATGGTATTTGTGTTGTGTTTGTGATTGAAGTGATTAATTGCAAACAATGAGAGTTTTTGATTAGCAAATCAAACATGAAATGTGTGCTACAATTGATTACATGTATTGACAAAGTAGTCATCAATATCTGAACCAATCATTGAATCCAAAGCCATAATTAACTCATTGTTTGTCTTCGCAAACAAACGCATCCATTCATTGATCACCCGATTTGTGTGAAACCACTGTTTGTCTGACAACTCATACAATGTTTTGATTATTTGAAAACTCATTATTTATTTAAAACCCTAAATGTCTTTCAGTTTATTTTAATCGCCAAAAAGTTTTTTATATTTATTTTATATAGTTTTTAATCAATTGATTATTGAGTCACAAAATATTTGCTCAAAATTTCTCATTCAGTATTGGATTTGAGGTTCAATTTTGAATCAACAAAACCATCAAAAAACAAGTCAATTGAGTTTCACTAATGAGACACCACTTTGAATGTCATTTCAATTGATCTCATCTTTTAGTTAATTAATTTGAGTCTTATTTTTATATACAAACCAATCGTTTGATTACTTTAAACAAATTATTTATTGTTAAATGAGATTTATTTTGCCACAAATCGTCAATCAATTGAAAAGTCTGTCACCACTTGTATTGAGTGGTTAAGAGGAAGCGAAAAGATGTTGAATCAAAGACATGCCATAAACGCCGTGAAGTGTCACCAAATAGCGATCGTCAATGACTTAGTGGTGGACTATATATTGGATCATTTGGTCGTAACCGAAGTCTTCACCGAAAGGGAGAGACAATTCATACTAAGAAGAGGCGAAGCGTTGGGCGATGTGTCGGACGTGTCGGTCAGGGATCGCATTCTTCGCCTACAAAACGAAACGTTTGTCGATATGCTGTTGAAGAAGATGGAGACCATTGACCATACATTTACTTCATTCACGTATATATTGTTTAAAGACGATAACTATCCGTGGATTGCGAAGAGATTGTTGTCATTGAGAGATGAAGAGAGACGGATGGAGGATATGAACAATTGCTTGCATGACATGGATATTAATGGTTTACCGAAACGTTTCGAAGTCATTGACCAGTGTTTGAGGGCAACGATCGGCAAACCGTTAGAAATATCGCTGTATTTGTACGACAGGGACAACAATTTGGTCGCACCCGACCCCTGGACTCACGTCCCGAAAATAAGCCTTCAGTATAGATATTTGTATTTACTTTTTATTGTATTTATTAATTTGTATTTTATTTTTTAGAGGTTTTAATATAAAAGAGAATTATAAATTGGATATCGACGACAAGAAACTGATCATTAAAAACATCATAATTATCGGAGACATAGAAGAAAGTGTAAGAAATGAATGCAGTTTTATATTTATGAGAAGACTTAACGATAAATTTTACTTATATTTACAGCAAATGGCAAACAGGGAGACGAAACTCGAGATATTTATGGCATCTATTAATTGGACGGAAGAGCTGTTGATTGAATTGATAATCGAGAGAAGTAATCGCCCGAAAGACCTTTGCATCGATTTCTTAATGTGTAACGGAATACAAGAATTGAATGAATTCCGACTTAAACGACAGAAATATCATCAAATTGTGGTCAAACTCCAAGAGTTGGGCGAAGACCTCACAGATTTGAAGGAAGATTTTGTTATCGAAACCATTTTAAACGGTTATAAGAGATCATTGATTGAATTGAAAACACAACATATGAATCGACCCATTCGTGGAGCCGTCGTCGCGAAAGCCCCACAAAGAAATGGAGTGATCGGACGGATTGCGCACTTGGCATATGTCGAGGACCACCAAATGGCGGCATATATTTCGTGGTTCCTTCGCTATCACATGACTTGTATCGTCACTAAGACTACAGAATCGGCAGAAACTCTAACCGACACTTTGTGTGTCATTAAACAGACGCTTCCATTGGATTCTATTCCAGAACACGGCTTACATTCACCACAACTTCCATCAAATCCATCCATTTCTGTAGTATTTGCCAAAAATT